TGTTGTTATTTACATTACGTACTGTGATGTGATTGTGATTCTTGTTGTTATTTACATTACGTACTGTGATGTGATTGTGATTCTTGTTGTTATTTACATTACGTACTGTGATGTGATTGTGATTCTTGTTGTTATTTACATTACGTACTGTGATGTGAATGTGAGTGATTCTTGTTGTTATTTACATTACGTACTGTGATGTGATTGTGATTCTTGTTGTTATTTACATTACGTACTGTGATGTGATTGTGATTCTTGTTGTTATTTACATTACGTACTGTGATGTGATTGTGATTCTTGTTGTTATTTACATTACGTACTGTGATTTGAGTGATTCTTGTTGTTATTTACATTACGTACTGTGCTGTGATTGTGATTCTTGTTGTTATTTACATCACGTACTGTGATGTGATTGTGATTCTTGTTGTCATTTACATTACGTACTGTGATGTGATTGTGATTCTTGTTGTTATTTACATTACGTACTGTGATGTGAGTGATTCTTGTTGTTATTTACATTACGTACTGTGATGTGATTGTGATTCTTGTTGTTATTTACATTACATACGGTGATGTGATTGTGATTCTTGTTGTTATTTACATTACGTACTGTGATGTGAATGTGAGTGATTCTTGTTGTTATTTACATTACGTACTGTGATGTGAATGTGAGTGATTCTTGTTGTTATTTACATTACGTACTGTGCTGTGATTGTGATTCTTGTTGTTATTTACATTACGTACTGTGATGTGATTGTGATTCTTGTTGTTATTTACATTACGTACTGTGCTGTGATTGTGATTCTTGTTGTTATTTACATTACGTACTGTGATGTGATTGTGATTCTTGTTGTTATTTACATTACGTACTGTGATGTGATTGTGATTCTTGTTGTTATTTACATTACGTACTGTGATGTGATTGTGATTCTTGTTGTTATTTACATTACGTACTGTGATGTGAATGTGAGTGATTCTTGTTGTTATTTACATTACGTACTGTGATGTGATTGTGATTCTTGTTGTTATTTACATTACGTACTGTGATGTGATTGTGATTCTTGTTGTTATTTACATTACGTACTGTGATGTGATTGTGATTCTTGTTGTTATTTACATTACGTACTGTGATTTGAGTGATTCTTGTTGTTATTTACATTACGTACTGTGCTGTGATTGTGATTCTTGTTGTTATTTACATCACGTACTGTGATGTGATTGTGATTCTTGTTGTCATTTACATTACGTACTGTGATGTGAATGTGATTCTTGTTGTTATTTACATTACGTACTGTGATGTGAATGTGATTCTTGTTGTTATTTACATCACGTACTGTGATGTGATTGTGATTCTTGTTGTTATTTACATTACGTACTGTGCTGTGATTGTGATTCTTGTTGTTATTTACATTACGTACTGTGATGTGATTGTGATTCTTGTTGTTATTTACATTACGTACTGTGATGTGATTGTGATTCTTGTTGTTATTTACATTACGTACTGTGATTTGAGTGATTCTTGTTGTTATTTACATTACGTACTGTGCTGTGATTGTGATTCTTGTTGTTATTTACATCACGTACTGTGATGTGATTGTGATTCTTGTTGTCATTTACATTACGTACTGTGATGTGATTGTGATTCTTGTTGTTATTTACATTACGTACTGTGATGTGAGTGATTCTTCTTGTTATTTACATTACGTACTGTGATGTGATTGTGATTCTTGTTGTTATTTACATTACATACTGTGATGTGATTGTGATTCTTGTTGTTATTTACATTACGTACTGTGATGTGAATGTGAGTGATTCTTGTTGTTATTTACATTACGTACTGTGATGTGAATGTGAGTGATTCTTGTTGTTATTTACATTACGTACTGTGATGTGATTGTGATTCTTGTTGTTATTTACATTACGTACTGTGATGTGATTGTGATTCTTGTTGTTATTTACATTACGTACTGTGATGTGATTGTGATTCTTGTTGTTATTTACATTACGTACTGTGATGTGAATGTGAGTGATTCTTGTTGTTATTTACATTACGTACTGTGATGTGATTGTGATTCTTGTTGTTATTTACATTACGTACTGTGATGTGATTGTGATTCTTGTTGTTATTTACATTACGTACTGTGATGTGATTGTGATTCTTGTTGTTATTTACATTACGTACTGTGATTTGAGTGATTCTTGTTGTTATTTACATTACGTACTGTGCTGTGATTGTGATTCTTGTTGTTATTTACATCACGTACTGTGATGTGATTGTGATTCTTGTTGTCATTTACATTACGTACTGTGATGTGATTGTGATTCTTGTTGTTATTTACATTACGTACTGTGATGTGAGTGATTCTTGTTGTTATTTACATTACGTACTGTGATGTGATTGTGATTCTTGTTGTTATTTACATTACATACGGTGATGTGATTGTGATTCTTGTTGTTATTTACATTACGTACTGTGATGTGAATGTGAGTGATTCTTGTTGTTATTTACATTACGTACTGTGATGTGAATGTGAGTGATTCTTGTTGTTATTTACATTACGTACTGTGCTGTGATTGTGATTCTTGTTGTTATTTACATTACGTACTGTGATGTGATTGTGATTCTTGTTGTTATTTACATTACGTACTGTGCTGTGATTGTGATTCTTGTTGTTATTTACATTACGTACTGTGATGTGATTGTGATTCTTGTTGTTATTTACATTACGTACTGTGATGTGATTGTGATTCTTGTTGTTATTTACATTACGTACTGTGATGTGATTGTGATTCTTGTTGTTATTTACATTACGTACTGTGATGTGAATGTGAGTGATTCTTGTTGTTATTTACATTACGTACTGTGATGTGATTGTGATTCTTGTTGTTATTTACATTACGTACTGTGATGTGATTGTGATTCTTGTTGTTATTTACATTACGTACTGTGATGTGATTGTGATTCTTGTTGTTATTTACATTACGTACTGTGATTTGAGTGATTCTTGTTGTTATTTACATTACGTACTGTGCTGTGATTGTGATTCTTGTTGTTATTTACATCATGTACTGTGATGTGATTGTGATTCTTGTTGTCATTTACATTACGTACTGTGATGTGAATGTGATTCTTGTTGTCATTTACATTACGTACTGTGATGTGAATGTGATTCTTGTTGTTATTTACATCACGTACTGTGATGTGATTGTGATTCTTGTTGTTATTTACATTACGTACTGTGCTGTGATTGTGATTCTTGTTGTTATTTACATTACGTACTGTGATGTGATTGTGATTCTTGTTGTTATTTACATCACGTACTGTGATGTGATTGTGATTCTTGTTGTCATTTACATTACGTACTGTGATGTGATTGTGATTCTTGTTGTTATTTACATTACATACGGTGATGTGATTGTGATTCTTGTTGTTATTTACATTACGTACTGTGATGTGAATGTGAGTGATTCTTGTTGTTATTTACATTACGTACTGTGATGTGAATGTGAGTGATTCTTGTTGTTATTTACATTACGTACTGTGCTGTGATTGTGATTCTTGTTGTTATTTACATTACGTACTGTGATGTGATTGTGATTCTTGTTGTTATTTACATTACGTACTGTGATGTGATTGTGATTCTTGTTGTTATTTACATTACGTACTGTGATGTGATTGTGATTCTTGTTGTTATTTACATTACGTACTGTGATGTGATTGTGATTCTTGTTGTTATTTACATTACGTACTGTGATGTGATTGTGATTCTTGTTGTTATTTACATTACGTACTGTGATGTGAATGTGAGTGATTCTTGTTGTTATTTACATTACGTACTGTGATGTGATTGTGATTCTTGTTGTTATTTACATTACGTACTGTGATGTGATTGTGATTCTTGTTGTTATTTACATTACGTACTGTGATGTGATTGTGATTCTTGTTGTTATTTACATTACGTACTGTGATTTGAGTGATTCTTGTTGTTATTTACATTACGTACTGTGCTGTGATTGTGATTCTTGTTGTTATTTACATCACGTACTGTGATGTGATTGTGATTCTTGTTGTCATTTACATTATGTACTGTGATGTGAATGTGATTCTTGTTGTTATTTACATTACGTACTGTGATGTGAATGTGATTCTTGTTGTTATTTACATCACGTACTGTGATGTGATTGTGATTCTTGTTGTTATTTACATTACGTACTGTGCTGTGATTGTGATTCTTGTTGTTATTTACATTACGTACTGTGATGTGATTGTGATTCTTGTTGTTATTTACATTACGTACTGTGATGTGATTGTGATTCTTGTTGTTATTTACATTACGTACTGTGATGTGATTGTGATTCTTGTTGTCATTTACATTACGTACTGTGATGTGATTGTGATTCTTGTTGTTATTTACATTACGTACTGTGATGTGAATGTGAGTGATTCTTGTTGTTATTTACATTACGTACTGTGATGTGATTGTGATTCTTGTTGTTATTTACATTACGTACTGTGATGTGATTGTGATTCTTGTTGTTATTTACATTACGTACTGTGATTTGAGTGATTCTTGTTGTTATTTACATTACATACTGTGATGTGATTGTGATTCTTGTTGTTATTTACATTACGTACTGTGATGTGAATGTGAGTGATTCTTGTTGTTATTTACATTACGTACTGTGATGTGAATGTGAGTGATTCTTGTTGTTATTTACATTACGTACTGTGATGTGATTGTGATTCTTGTTGTTATTTACATTACGTACTGTGCTGTGATTGTGATTCTTGTTGTTATTTACATTACGTGCTGTGATGTGATTGTGAGTGATTTATTGTCTTGATAATCTGTGATTTCAGCCCGTTAATCTGGTCCTGATTCGCATAAAACAGCTAAAATGATGCAGATGTTTTTCTCTTCGAGCTGTTTGTCCTTAACGTTGTTTATGTTTTGGGGAATAAAGAAGCCAAGTTCCTCTTGTGATTTTTGCAAACTTACTCTGTCTGCAGAGGTTGGACGCATGATGGAGACTCTGTCGTACTGCCGCCTCATCAGAGCCCACAGAGCATCGAGGCGACCCTGATGAAACACGCAGAGTTAGGATTAAGCCCCCGTTAAACCAGGATGTGGAACCGAAGCAGGGGCCGCAGGTCTCACCTTTATGGGCGTGTACCATTTGTGTTCAGCCTGATGGCTGGGGGCGGGTTTTGAAGTTGGCCGTTTGATCATCGACTCTTCCGCGTCCTCTGGTACGGACACTTTGGCGTTTTTGGCTTTCTCCAGCCGCGCCCCCTCCTCGGTCGAGCCCTTTTCTCCCCAACGCACCTGAGCAGCAAAACAGGTTAAATAAATGAGATCAGTTCTGATTTACAGGAGAAAAAAAAACAAATAAGGATAAAAACAAAAACATGGCTGCATGATGGTTGTAGCGTAAGAAAGCCTTAAGGTCAGAGGTCATCTGCCCGGAATACGGTGTGCTTTTCATACCATAACAAATACCGTTTACCACCTCTAGCCTCGCCATCAGGGGAAACAGTCAAAACATTCTTATGTTCTTATCTGGAGGAAGACACACAAGGCTCCAAGAGAAGGCGTGCGTCTTTCTAACTTTATTAAAGAGTCTTATTATGCCTCATGAAAATGACTTCTTGAGTTTACAGGTTAATTACAATTACATGACATAATGAATGTTTTGTCTAAAGCGATTTAATAAGTCTTGACTGCTTTACACTGATGAACAAATCAACATAACATTTATCTCAGATCTTAAAGACACCAAAGCAGTCTACTTGATGATTTGATCATGATTTATTATAAGTTATGTCACATATTCATGTCAGTTTATAAACAAATGACTGTTTTATCATATTTACTTCACGTTAGGTGAAAAAAGGCTTCTCTTAAGTTCCTGAGAAAAATGTGACGTCTGAGGACTTTGGTAACATTTTCTGGCCTCTGGTTCGTCCAAAACCTTTAGAAGTTCAGTCACAGGAACTGAAAATCAGTTTTGCCAAAGGTTCCAGCCTTTATGCTAAATAATCTCTCAGACCAGGTCTTTCAACTGAATGATTTTAGCAATATAAGAACCATCCTTTTTCAAGATCAAACAACCATTATGTGTTTTAATATACAAAACTATTCATCAGACGTGAAACGGTCCACCAGCTGTCAGCTGTTACCCAGGGAAGTTTCTTATCGACCAGCTGTGTGGATTTGAGGGCCTGCGACCTTTGAACTCCAAGAAGTGGAACTCGCCATCATCCACGTCGAGCCGACTCTAATACCGGCGGGATCGGCCGAGAACTCCCACTAGACTGGTAACGTAGGCTCTGTACTGGCGTTGGATGGTTAAGATTAATTTAATACTAAACCACATCTAAGGTCATCTTTCATCAGAGTTTATTCATTGTGTCAGTTGATATCACCTTAAACCAGGCATGTACACATGTGTGTATATATATATACATAATACACATATGTGTGTATATATACATAATACATATATGTGTGTATATATACATAATACATATATGTGTGTATATATACATAATACACATATGTGTGTATATATACATAATACACATATGTGTGTATATATACATAATACACATATGTGTGTATATATACATAATACACATATGTGTGTATATATAAATAATACACATATGTGTGTACAAATAAATAATACATATATGTGTATATATAAATAATACACATATGTGTGTATATATACAAATAATACACATATGTGTGTATATATACATAATACACATATGTGTGTGTATATATACATAATACACATATGTGTGTATATATACATAATACACATATGTGTGTGTATATACATAATACACATATGTGTGTGTATATACATAATACACATATGTGTGTGTATATATACATAATACACATATGTGTGTATATATACATAATACACATATGTGTGTATATATATACATAATACACATATGTGTGTATATATACATAATACACATATGTGTGTGTATATATACATAATACACATATGTGTGTATATATACATAATACACATATGTGTGTATATATACATAATACACATATGTGTGTATATATACATAATGCACATATGTGTGTGTATATATACATAATACACATATGTGTGTATATATACATAATACACATATGTGTGTATATATACATAATACACATATGTGTGTGTATATATACATAATACACATATGTGTGTGTATATATACATAATACACATATGTGTGTATATATACATAATACACATATGTGTGTATATATACATAATACACATATGTGTGTATATATACATAATACACATATGTGTGTGTATATATACATAATACACATATGTGTGTATATATACATAATACACATATGTGTGTATATATACATAATACACATAAGTGTATTAAAATCATTACATGGTGAAGATGGTAGCATTGCTGCCTTGCAGCAAGAAGGTTGCAGGTTCTAAACCCTGTTGCATCCTTTTTGCATGGAGTTAGTTTCTCCCACAGCACAACACCACGCATGTTGGGTTAAAGCTCTTCGTTACTTTGGATTAAAGACTTTGTTAAATAAATAAATAAATAACCAAAAAGAGGCTGTCGTTTTTGAAAACCCTTGCTGATGCGTGGAGGTCGTTGCCACTGATTACAGAAAACCTTTTCACTGCCAGTCTTGGACAAAACGTCCTGATGTGGCTGCAGAACGACGGGGTACGAAAAGCTGAAAACACGCAGAAATCAACCCTAATAAAACCTTCCAGAAGAATTAAGCACCATGCCGAGTGAGCCGGGCGTCCAGCGTGTGGCGCGCGGACCACGTCCGGCCCCTTGAGCAGACTTTAGCTGTGGTGCAAGGAAGGAAGGATTACGACAACCTTCAGAAAGTTTCATGTTACATCTAAATGTTCCTGTTTTTGATCACGAAGGTAAACCAGAAAACAATCAACTCAGAAGAATCCCAGAAGCAGGAAATCTGATGCTTTTCTGTTGATGAGACCAAAACGCTTTTATGACCCACATCAGCAACGGATTCTTTTAAGTACTGCATGCCTGACGTGTTGTTGAACAGGTCAGAACATTTTGGACTCTACTGGACTAAGATGACCCCAAGTCCAGGTTAAATCAATCAACTTGGTTCAAAAACATTTAAAAATAAAAATCCATCCCACAAATGATCTCAACTTAGGCAGTCAGACAGAAACAGGTCAGCCACTGGTAAAAGTATCAGGTGTGTGTGTGTTTTCAGCCTGTGTGTGAGCTAAGCTGTCCTGCTTTTTAATTGAAATCATCACATCTGTTGCACGGAGACAGAGAAAACCCTGCAGCTCCACACGAACGGGGAGAGGTGATTAATTAGCGACACATTTTCTAAGCTGTAGGTTAAGCCGTGACAATATAGAACAGCTTTTCAGAATCATCTCTGGGATACTTCCCGAGCCTGCTGCATCATCAAGAAAAGAGAGCCCTGTGATGAATAAATGATAACGCCGTGGCCGCAGCGAGCTCAATCAGCGTTTGAAAAGTTGCAGCGGTGAAGCAGAGGTGGAGGTTTTCGCTGTGTGACAGCTTAAAGGTGGATGTGGAGGAGAGGTTGGATGCTAACAAGCTCCTGGTTGTCCATCCTCCAGGGGGAGGAGGTTAAGATGTAGAGAAGAGCCTTGTCCATGGAAATTAACTTGCTGAAGGAGTCTCAAGGGACAAAGACAAGAGGCAAGAGATCCCAAAGGATGCTGGGAAAACTCTGGAATGACACCAATGAAAGGTGGAGGTGGAGGGAGGAAGTTTGTGTTTAAACCCAGATCTCCTTTAGAGGAGCAGAAACAAAAGGAGTTCGGGGGAGGGAGTGGGTGAGGTGGATGTGTCACACCGACAGCAGCTCAATCTTTCATCCCAGAGATGACTTGATCCAATCAGGACGAGACGGCAGGACCTGTCATGTCAGAGCATCAGCGGAGTGACGAGGACAGCGTCCCGGTCCGCCCGAGTTCTTCCATAAACTTCTAACCTGAGCGTCAGCAGGTTTCAGGTCACTGGATCACACCATCAGCTATGCCACCTCCTGCTGTCTGGAGGCTGTGTCCCACTTCAGAGCTGAATAAGAATCAGGATGACAAAAAGGTTCTGACCTCCATGCGTTTGATCCCTCCTGCTCCTCGCCCTCCGTAATACGAGGCGTCCACCGTCGGCCACTTCTTCTTAGGCAGCTGCTCGGGCTCCTGGAATAAGGAGAAAGAGGTCAGACATTCTCATGATAAATAAAATGATGTTGCTTCTGATTAGGTCACAGATTGGACAGAATGGCTTTAAGAACTCCAGTGGAGAAGTAGAGTTAACCTCATTAGGTCGTATAAATAAAATCTGTCCTAAATGAAATAGTTTCTATTAAACTCTATGAGTATGTCAGGCACAACTCTCAGTGTTTCATGTGAAAATGAACAAATAATGTGAACACTTGCAGCTACTTTTGGATTCTCTTTAGAATAAGAACAATTTTAAATGGAATGAATGAAAGTAAAGACGCAGACTTGAGTAAGTTTAGCAGAAAGTAAAACCCACCTATCAGTATTCCTAACCCTTACTCATGGAAACATCTTGTAAAACCGCCGATGCTCCAATGGAAGAGTGGGTGAGACGTTTTCTTACACAATTTTAGAATAAAAGTGGTCAATTAGAGGAGGAGCCAAACTTTTTGTGGCAGCGTATGTGTCATTACACACACACACACACACACACACACACACACATGTATATATATATATGTGTGTGTATATATATATATATATATATATATATATATATATATGTGTGTATATATATATATATATATATATATATATATATATATATATATATATATATATATATATATGTGTGTATATATACATATATATATACATATATATTTACTGTATAAATATATATATATATATATAGCTATATTTATACAGTAAATATATATGTGTATGTATGTGTATATATATATATATATATATATATATATATATATATATATATATATATGTATATATACATATACACATACATATATACATATATATTTACTGTATAAATATATATATATATATAGCTATATTTATACAGTAAATATATATGTGTATGTATGTGTATATATATACAGTATGTGTGTGTGTGTTTTCTATTCTCTTCAAATAGCCTCCCTTTGCTCTGGTTACTGCTTTGCACTCTTGGCATTCTCTTAATGAGCGTCAGGAGGTAGTCCTTCAAGATTGTTGGAAATCCATCTTAGTTGCTTACCTCTTGAAGCTCATCCTGAAAACACATTTTGAGTTATTTCACCTTTTTTGGTTAAGTACATAACTCCTCATGTGTTCATTCATAGTTTTGATGCCTTCAGTGAGAATCTCCCAATGGAAATGGTCATGAAGATAAAGACAACACAGGAATTAGATGGTGTGTCCAAACCTTTGGGCTGTGCTGTATGTATAAATATATTTATATGTCCATAATTGTATTGCCATTGCAGCCCCACAGCTCTACGATTACAGCACTTAGGGTTATTATACGAGTGGTCTTTTAATTAGCAAGGCTAACTAGGAACATTTTCATCATACAACATTAAAGTTTGAATGTCTCCAGGATCTGGAGTGATTCCAAAGAGCCACATTTAGCAATCTGCTCATCTAAATCAGTCTAACTTATGAAATACTGTTGTAACAACCTATTAGAGAACATGTAAATGTGGGCTAATGCCCCTATAATATCCAGTATTGTCGTCTGTAGCACTCACAGGTGGAGGAGGACGGGAAGGTGGAGGTGGTGGTGGAGGGTCTTTGATGACCTGAATAAACAAAAACCAAAAGAGAGTCAGCAGATTTGAATGAGAGACGTTTACAGACACACTGGCACTCATGTTCAAACCTTATCAAGAGCCAGATGAGGCTGACGGGGCTGATTTGTGACAGGTGACACAGAGACATCCCTGAGCTTGTCTCAGGATGGAGACGCCATTGCCGTCAGGCTTAACTGGTGCCCCGCTGCCCCGCTGACTACTGATTACAAGGATCCTGCTTGTAAACCAACATCAGGGCCCCCCAGTGCAAAATAAAGAAAGGCAGAAAATCAACTTGTTGACAGGGGAGTCTTTGGGGTGCGCACCGTCGCCCGTTTAGCTCTTAATTAATTGGACGAGGTTCAGTGCTCCGAAGCGATCTCCCCCATCATAAAGTCCTAAGGAGTTAATTAGCTCCAATGAGATACAGAGGAGGCGGCTTTAGGCTCAGATCCAAGTCCTGTCTGCAGGGAGGATGAGTGGCAGCACACACACACACACACCTCTGTCACAGCAGAGCAACTGGCCCGGCGGCGGTCGGCATGACGACACTGGATGACATGACACCTGAGGGGCAGGTTGTCCACAATGTGATTCCACTCACAGACAAGATGCCTGGAATGGACTTTCAGATGTGTTCGCAGAGCAAAGACGGACCTGATGGCGACGTTTGTCAGGTGTCAGTTGGAGGCTTTGCATCCTGATGTCCAACTTTCCCATCACACAACTGTTGTCAACGGCAACCTGACCGAGAAAAGATGGACGATAGAGAGAGGTGTGTCCCGTCCTTTAACAGCTACTGTTCTCCAGGAGGAAGTCCAAAAGAGGCAGAGACGTGAACTCAGTCATTCATACCAGCTGAAGAGCGGGCAACGGCTGTAATGACGTAACTTCTATAGAAACAAATGAACTTAAAGCCTTTTCAAGGTGAGTTCTCCAGGATGGCATGGTAGTGATGATTGGTGCATGCAGTAAAATGGAATTTATTAAGAGTTTCACGCATCAGATGGAATCCTGGGTAAACGGTGTGTATTCATACAGCACCTTCTTAGGGTTCTACAGCCCCCCAAGGCGATTTACAACACAGTCAGTCATCCACCCATTCACACGCTGGTGGTGATGAGCTACGATGTAGTCACAGCTGCCCTGGGGCGCTCTGACAGAGGCGAGGCTGCTGAACACTGGCGCCACTGCAGCAGCATTCTCTGGTGGGAGCCGGGATCGAACCTGCAACCTTCTGCTTACTGTACAACCTGCTCTACCTCCCGAGCTGCTGCCCCCAAATGATAAGGTTTACTTACAGCTGGAGAAGCTAACCCTAACCCTAACCCTAACCCTTAAACCACGATCATATCTCAGGGGAACCAGCGACACCTAATAGTAATCCCTGCTTGCCGCTCAGGACAGACGTGCCGGAGATGGTTAGTGTTTACTGCATCATGTTTATCATGGCGGATCACTAACCTTGCACTGCAAGATGAATTCTCGTGAGATTTAGAGTTTTCCGAACTCAGGAGAACCCATCTCGCACCACTCCAGTTCAAACCATCCGACCTCCTGCCTAAAATAGGGCGGACCAATCATCTGTCAGTACTGAGCTGTAGGGTGGGACTTAGTTTTGCCGATAGCATCAAGCGCCCGGCTAAGCAAAACAAACATGGCTGCACCGGTTGAGACTAACAGCAAACAATGGTCACGATGGCAACGCGGGGTCGACGGCCCTACATGGACTCGGTCGGACGTCTTAAATTTCCTAAAACATGCAACAGAAAATACCCTAAAAACCCATTCAGATATATTTGTACACGTTTACATGTATGATTGTTATTATGACAACTAGTTACGTGTAGTTTAACATGTAGCATGTTGTGGATCTGTTTAAGTGTACATCCACTGGGTGAGATCATGTTAAAGATGGCTCACCTGGTAAGGTACCTGTCTGCCTTACAAGCTGGGGACTTTCTCATCAGTATCAGCGGGGGGAGGCCCGGGGTTCGCTCCGCGGTCGTGTGTCGACTGTGTCAGTGAAGAAGGTAGGGCTGGGGAGGGGGGTTGGGACCATGCTTAGCCTGGCGGCCGAAACCCTGCCCTTCATGTGCATATTCTTCTCACAAAACCAGCAGAATCACCCGGGGACATGGTAATAGCTGCGCGAGTGAATGAATGAAGCTTGAGCGAGTTGTTGTTGTTTTCCAGGCGCACGTCATTTGAGTTACTGTGATTGGCTAAAGACACAATCTGGTAGCCAGTGCCAACCGGGACTACCTCAGGCGTCCTCCAATCAGCTCTAAATATTCTACCAGATGGCCCTCCCTCTTTCAGACGTTTTCTGCTGCAGAGACTCCAGATGGAAGTGTGTTGCGTTGACATGGGGCGGGGCTACGCTGCTGCCAGGTTAGCGGTTCATCAAAGAATCAAAGAAAACCTTCGTCTGACGACGATGAAGACAAGACTCAACATGGGGAGTTTAATATAGACGAGAGCTCAAAGACAAAGAAGGATTATAACTGGATGCAGACCTCACCATCATTCACTTGTGAGTAAAACGTGTGGTGGGCTGATTTGAAAACACAGGCGTACAGCGGGGTGCAGTTGTTTTTTCAACGGTGATTGTAAACAGACACTAGGGGGTGTTAAAGCAAGCCACAACTTCATAGTGTCCCTTTAAATAAAACTGCAATGTCTTCATTAAGAGAGAAACGAAGAACATGGAAGAAATTCCTAAACGATGTTCCTCTAACTTTTCCTGAAGCAAAGAAAATGAAATGTGATGTAAGATTAGAAAAACATACTAAATGAATAATAAAGAACAAGCTTCCAGGTCTCTCACCTCTAGGGGGCGGTTAAAGAAAAGCCGGTCGTATTTCCATCATTTAACACAGACGCTGAAATTGTGGCTGGTTAGGAACTTGCTAAAGAACAAATAAAGGTGATTATGTCCTATCATAGATCCAAACAGCTGTGTCATTCCCTCTTAAGCTCGGAGACACCGTCAGACTAGCTGCTGTGTTGTCATTAAAATAATGAAAAACAATCAATTAGGGTTAATTAATTTCTCTTCAACACACAACTGGCTGTACGCTAATCCTGTTAAAGGTCTAGCAACGACCTCTCCATACGCTGATTAACAGCATTTCAGCCACACCTTACGTTGAGGGGATTATCTCTTTTTATTAAGTAATTATGTGGCAGCTTTTCTGCACATGTTGTGGGCTAAATAATACGTTATAGGAATGATGAAGCCCTGCTGCTCTTTCCCAGCAACCTGATGGACAGATGTGAGCTCTCTGCAACGAGGTGGCATAATTAAAAACTAAACCGCAGGATGCTTAGCCATCTGACACCCGCCCCAGTGGCTCACCGCTGCGGCCTCAGCACCACGGGGGGAATTAGACCAATCAGAAGCACTCGGGGCACGGTCCACATATGGCTGTCCTTGTGACCATCCAACTGGGCTAGAAAATCTGTTCGCTCCCAAACCCGAGCTCGGATGGTGTTGCATCAAGCTGTTTTGGGAGGTTCATTATGACGGATCGGTGGCAGGCACCATATTTGAAAGTTTAACAATAATTTAATGTCACCTGGCTTTGGGAAGTAAATCAGGACAGAAGGAGAACATTTCTGCGCCTGTGCAGAAACACGGCTGACACCTCATCACATCAAGTAATCAGATGTTAAAAACCTATTAGGAACCAGATGTTTCCTAAAGTGGCTCCAGTTCGCGTTGAATCATGGGCACTTCGGATAAATATGCAATGCATTTTTAAAACTTCATCTCCACCCGTTTGATTTAAGCAAAACACGATTCAGAGCTTAATTTCCAAACAAAGAAATTATGGCTCCACAGCTTGTGTGACCTCTCGTGTGGCACGGTTCCACGTGGGTAGAGACTGTGGAAGAGAAGGATTGTGGGAGAGAGGTTGGGCCCGTCTGTTTGTGTGTGCGTGGCCTCAGCCCGACTGCTGAAACCTGGCAGACTGGGGGTTTAAATATTAACAAGCCACACATGGCCCTCCTCTTCTGCCGCGTCCCTCGATGGAAAGCAACAGCAGCTCTCTCCACCAAGACAAACACGTCTGCGGCCAGACATGCTGCAGGGGGTTTACATTTTAATGCCTTTGTTGGTTTTCCAAAATATGCTTCCATCTCATCCTGGATGGGATCCCTTCAGGTCCACAAAGCCAGGTGACGTCTATCACTTCAGGGGTGAGTGAGGTGAGGTGGTGGAGAGCGTCAGGGCCAGGTGACGGGTAAGTCTGCCTTCATCACATCTCAACAGTAAAAGCACTCAGAGAAAGAGGTGGGACACGCCATCTGTAGCACCTCTCCCATTGCCCCAAACGCTAATCTGTTGTGGATCTCTGTAATTGGTTAAGTGGATGAGACTTTAGTTTGTCACGAGGGTGATGGTAGAACCAGAATTTTTAATCATAAATACATTTCTATGGTAATGTCTTGTCCATGGAAGAGGCACCAGACTAGTTAAGGTCACTAACCTACTCCTCAGTTTGTGATCAGTCACAGCATTTCCTGTCATCATTTATAGTCGTAGGCAGGAGGACTGTTATTTTAAATGAGTCGACTCCTTCTAATGATTTAATTCATCATATTGCTCCAAGTACATGGCGAGGAGGGGGAGTAGAAACCATTTTTCATTCAGACCAATTGATCAATCCCTTACCAATTAATAGTTACAGGTCTTTTGAACATCTTATTATTAGTTTTCCTAATCCAGATTGCAAAACTGTAAAACCACTGTTGTTTGTAGTTTTATATCGTCCACCAGGCCCTTACTCTGAGTTTTTGGATCAGATCTCTGATTTTTTATCTGATTTGGTGCTAAATACTGATAAGGTCATTGTAGTGGGGGATTTTAACATCCATGTGGACATTGAAAGTGATAGCCTCAACGTAGCCTTTAGTAATATTTTAAGACTATTGGTTTAACCCAAAGAATACATAACTCCTCCCACTCCTGCCATCATACATTAGACCTTGTGCTAACTTATGGCATAGAGTGTGAGGAAATAATATTTCCACATAATCCAGTCCTCTCAGACCACTTTTTGATAACCTTTGAGTTTTTTATAACCGAGTTCTCGAGACACGAAAGTAAATTTCACTATAGTCGGTCTCTATCTGACAACGCAGTTGCATCTTTTAAATCAACTGTTCCATCTTTACTGTCTTCAGCATCTCAGAGGAACATAGCAGAGGGCAATATTTTCAGTTCTAGCCGTTCACAAATTGATGCCTTATTTCATCATGTTAATTCCTCTTTACGTGTGGCATTAGATGATGTTGTTGTAGGAGGAGTCCTACTTATCCTGGAAAAAATAGTCTTGTGCTTTATAAAAATAAGGTTTGACAAGCTAGAACTAATTATTTTTCACAGCTAATTGAAGAGAATAAGAATAATCCTAAATTTTTTTCAGTACAGTTGCCAAACTTACACAGAATCATAGCTCTGAACCATCTATTCCCTTAGCCCTCAGCAGTAATGACTTTATGGGATTTTTCACGAGTAAAATTAATTCTATTGGAAACAAAATCTTTAGCATCCTCCCTAACGCGATTTCTTCTTCCTCAGTAAGCGAGGCAGCATCAGAGGTGACTGTAGAACCTCATCTGTGTTTGAACGTTTTGATCCAGTTGAGCTTTCAGAGATTTCACAAATATTAGCTTCATCTAAAACTTCAACTTGCATTTTAGATCCAATCCCAACCAAATTACTTACAGATGCATTTCCTTTGGTTACTGCCCCCGTTCTAGATATAATCAGTCTATGTGCATTTTTGGTTTAATTATAAACACAGAAAAGGTTTCTTTTTTACCTTGCTGCTGACAGTTTCGTTCGCGGCTGCGAACTTCCTCAGAGCTGACGCTGATGGTGGCGTCACTTCCTACTCCGTTTATCCGCGGGCAGCAGAGGACGTTGTCGCCCTCTGCTGCCCGCTCTCCCCTCTCCAATGATGCAGTGCATGCGCAATCTAATAAGTAAACTCCATCGTCTCTGTTCATGGTCCCACATCCACGTCTCCTTATCTCGATAGCTTCTTTTATCCATCTTTTGTATTTCTGTTGTTCGGTGTTTATGATCCTTGTGTTGTCCCAGTCCATTACATGGTTTTCTCTTGTGCAGTGATCTGTTACGGCTGACTTCTTTATTGTGCTTTCTGCTTCTTGTTTTGCTGCTCTTGTGTGTTTTCGACTTGTTTCTTTCTCGCACTCCTTTCTGTGTTCTATTGTTCGTGTGTTGAGTTGGCGTCCAGTTTCTCTATGTATGTTTTAATGTAGAGTTTGCATGTTCAAGACCCATTTTAGACCATATCAAAGAACATTAGCTACAAGGAAAAGTGGTAAAAACAAGAAAACACCTAATGATTGACAGGATTGTGGAACACAGATTAAGCTTAAGTATGAACAGATTTAATAGGATTAAAAGAGAAAAACTCTTCTGTCCCAGGGTAGACCTGATATTAGACTTGTATAAACACTCAGATGATCCCTGATCTGTTTGTATAAAACTATGTTGTTCATTCAGAACAAACCTAAACTTGATCTCATGAAGCCACATTTACAGGATGTGGTTTCTTCACTTCCTCTCAGAGAGCAGAACCACTGCAGCTGTTAAACAGCATTCCCCTTCAGCGGGTTGGTGGTGACACCCATCCCTCTTTATACTCAGATTTATCTGCTGTCATCTTCCATCTGTGGCTGACCAAACAAGAAGATGCTGGTTGAGACTCACCACAGTGCAGCAGAGAGGCCAGAACCACCACATGAGGGCTAAAGCCACAAGAGCCAGCAGCACCAAGAGGACGATCACCACCGCAGATCCATCAGACTACACACATATCAAAACTGTCTGGTTAGGAATGGTTACCTCAAAGTAAACATTTTCCATCCAACTATAACACCAAACCCGGAGTGATTCAGACTTACACACGTGGAAACGGTGATGAAGTGGGGGGTGGAGATGAATGATTTTCCGTTGTTCAGGCTGACAAGAACATCCATAGTCCTGTAAAATAAAGACACACACAAGTGGTGCAGTAACCGTTCTCATTTATAATATGAAGAAAATCTATTTCACATTCACCTCTAAATAAAACCTCGCATCATGTCTGTCTTCTTTGTTTTGATCATTCTGAGGCAGGACATGGTTGTGATCGTCTCTGTGTTGATGGTTTAGTTATTAGTAGGGAATAAAGATAACATCATAAAGGGTGATTTACACCACACAGAATCATCTTTTACAGATTTAATGTTGCTTTTAGAATAAAGGTTACATCATCCTGTTGTGAAAGCAAACAGAAAGTTTTGAGTGAAATAAATGTTGCACATTAAAAACAGACAAAGGAGACAATAGAGCTGTGTAAGCGGTCAAACAGGAAGTAAGGAAGGAAACCTCATTATTCCAGCCGTGTGTGTGTGTGTGTGAACTAACCTGACTAGCAGTAACAAGGCTCGTGAACCCCTATGACTTATTTACAGGCAGAAATGGAGAGGCCAAAATGGGCACAATTAAAAGCCTAATGATGAACGGCACCGCAATTTCCATATGTCTATTATGCCCGATCCAATTACAGAAGGTTTAATGAGAAGTCGGGACGCGGAGCCGGCGAAACGCTTGAAATCCTCCTCCAACATAAAAAAGAAAAGGAGAGAAAGAAGCCTGCAGAGTGGGATTGTGAGTGCTGGTCGTGGCATGCACGGGAGGCCTGAATTCAACACCAGGCTGCAGAATAACAAGAGCGTTTGCTTTGCTGTGGATTGTGCCTGAGGCACAGCCCTGGGCCACCAATCCTCCTGTGGTTCCAAACAGATGAGCAACTAGACCAAGTGTCCATTACTATGCAGCGTACCCAAATATTCTGAACCGACTTCTTTGCACCTTTCCTTGTTTGCAGCACTAAATATTTAAGATGCGTTTCTAAATTCAATTCAATTCAAAGGTACTTTATTAATCGCAGAGGGAAATTAGAGTTTCAGTGCACACAATTAAGACTTGAGACGAGCTCTGACTAATCACCTGACTTCTTGTTGCTTCACTTTGCTTTTCAGTCAGAAAGCATATTAGACACGGCATCTGCTTTATCTGGACTTTCTGGTCTCTTCTAACAACACATTTCTAAAGCAACAAAAGGATAAATGTGCAGCACTGAAGGAGCGTGGAGAGCTTTGGCTTAAGTTGTAGGATAGAAAAGCTGCTTTAGACTCAGAAACTGGGACAACATTTATTTTCTTTTCATTTGTTTAGACGAAAACATATGATCCAGATGATTAACCCTTTAATTTTACATCATGAAAAACCTATTGATTTGTTTCTTCTCTGCATGTTTGATTCACTTATTTCAGGACTCATATTGTAATAAGATAACAATCTGAAGCAAAAAAACATTTGTTTTAGCTCAGAGCCATGCTTTAAGACGACGTGGGGATGGGAAGTTGTTCTGCACACTGGTTGACCTTCAGGGTAAAGGGTTGAGAACGTATTTTTAACTAAACAACAGAAAAAGGTCAGAATTTCCAAATCCTTAAAATCCAGATGCTGCAAACCCAAACATTTAAACTCGTTTTGACTTTAAAAGCCCAAATTTAAAGACGCATAAACAAAAGTTTGCATTCATCAGAAACATAAAAGTCATCCGGCTCCTGTGGCTGAGTGGAGGCGTTAAGGGTGGGGGAGGCTAATTATGCTGACACTCTCAATCCCTGACAATGGTGGGCAGGTTGTTAATCAAGCTGGAGGTGCGGACGCTGCAGTGTGAAGGAGGAAGGCTCCCAAGCGAGTTACACTTCCCGTTGGCCTGACAACGCCGGACATCCTGAACGCACCACAACCCAACCGTAGTGAGCGGGAGCGCTTCCTTCTTCCTCTCCGAGACATTAATGAGCAATTTACCCGGTTAGTGTTGAGTAGGCAGAATCTGATCCAGCACATAGGCACAAGTCGTATAGCTCTGTCTTTTTACGTTTAGTATTACAAACTAATTCATTCAGGGATTAATCCATGGAAGTATGAATGAACTCTTTCAGCCTAAATATCCCTCAAAAGGTAACATGAGCTTCCATCAGCTGCTTTGTTTTGCTGAAATGTGTTTGATTTTGGAGGTTTTTGAAAATGAAACTGCAGTTCTTATTAGCTGAACGCTATCTGAACATCTCCGACTGGAACGACTTATCCATTTGTTTATCTCTTGTCGGCTGGATTACTGCAACTCCCTCTATTATGGCCTGGTCCGCCTCGCATCGTCTGCAGTTGGTCCAAAATGCAGCCGCTGGTTTGCTAACAGGTATGGGGAGGCGTGATCATATCTCTCCGGTGCTTGCTTCCCTTCACTGGCTTCCCCTTCAGTATAGGATTCAGTTTAAACTATTGCATAATCTTAATAAGTTTTACTGGAGCATGTCTGATTTCATGGCACCTTGGGCTGCGTGAGCAACATTAAAGGTGCTATTGAATTAAATAAAGTTGACCTTGACCTGACTTTTGCCCACGAGCTGGAGGCACAAGGCTGTGACAGAATACTGAAATGTTCGTTAAACAAGTACTTTCAGTCCATTTTTTTGGTCATTTTATTCATATTTTGGTTGCCAACTGTGCCCAACCAGACAAGTTTGAGATGCGTGCAATGACTTACTACCGACGTACTTGTGCTGCTGTTTGCCGTTTGTTGCCTCTGGTTGCAACCCTGCGCAGAGACAGGCGCACGGTTTATCTCAAACTTAAATTAAAGCTTCAAACCAATTTCCTCCATGAGATTTTCAGCAAAGATAAAGACGTGTTGTCATTTTAGAACAACAAATGCCAAAACGGATGAGGAAAGTCAGCTAAAAGTGTTTTTTTAAGGTAGAATTAGTTGAATGTGGTCTCATGTAAGAATAAAGATGCATCTCACAGAATTATCCTCTCTGGAGTGTTTCTGGTCCTACATTATCAACTATGCCAATAACATTTAACTTCGAGGTCTAAAGAATAAAAAAGCAGCTGAGTGGTTTTAGAAAACAAAGGATGAATAATTCAGGAGAACATTTGCTATCATTTCACTTTTCTACAGTAAAAGCCACTAAGTGACACCAAGGAGAGCTCTGCAGATGCTCGTTGGGTCGGTGGGAATGTCTGAATAGCTGAGAGATGAGAGGGCAGATTGTCATGGAGCTCAGGGATCAGTCACGTTTCCAGAGGCGGACCAATATTCGGCTCCCAGGTGGAAAAACCTTCTCCCAGGGCTCACCATCAGAATCCGTCAGAAAGTAGGTCTGGTGTGACGCTAAGCTTTGGTGATGTGGTGCAGCTGGAGAGGCCCGATGATAACGAAGCTAATGGATTTTAAAACTTCTCATAAAGACGTGAAGATTGAGGAAGTTGAATAATTGACAGTGCAGCATATGTGAGGCCTGTCGTTTGGCAGCCAGCAGTCATCGCTCTGAATGAATCTGCTTGACAGAAGTTCTGGTGATGAGGAGGAAATGGTCTCATGCAGCCTGGGGACCAGATGAGAAGCTGGGCTTCAGAGCGGGACATCTTTGATTCAGAAAGAGTGACACGCACTCTAGTGAAAAATTAAACTGAGACAGGGAGAAAAACAAGTCAGATTGAAAACAGACGGGCAGATTCAGAATATTAACTCTGAACTGAAAAGCTGCTGGTCCAGTCATTCCTACAGAAGACCAGCTTAATGTCCCTAACTAGATCAGCCTTATCCATCTGTAGTAAAAACTGAACATAAAACAATAAACGCTTGCAGCAGGTTCTTCAGCACGTCTGCGGCAGGTTCTTCAGCACGTCTGCGGCAGGTTCTTCAGCGCGTCTGCGGCAGGTTCTTCAGCGCGTCTGCAGCAGGTTCTTCAGCATGTCTGCGGCAGGTTCTTCAGCACGTCTGCGGCAGGTTCTTCAGCACGTTTGCGGCAGGTTCTTCAGCACGTCTGCGGCAGGTTCTTCAGCACGTCTGCGGCAGGTTCTTCAGCACGTCTGCGGCAGGTTCTTCAGCACGTCTGCGGCAGGTTCTTCAGCACGTTTGCGGCAGGTTCTTCAGCACGTCTGCGGCAGGTTCTTCAGCACGTCTGCGGCAGGTTCTTCAGCACGTCTGCGGCAGGTTCTTCAGCACGTTTGCGGCAGGTTCTTCAGATGGGTTTGTGTTGCTGAGGGAAAGCCTGCTTAAATCAATAACCAGCATTAGCTTTAGCCGCAGTGTCTGCTCTGTAAAGCAGGTGTCGCCTCCCACTAAGTTAGTTTCTTGCCATGCATCAATATTGTGAAAACACAGGTGAGGACAAGCAGTAGGAAGAGAGCAGCTACTTAACCCGTCAGCTGAGCTGCAGTGGGGTGTGTTGGGTTTCCTAATGGGGATACACAAAGATGAGGGGGGTTTCAGCAGATGCCCGTGTTCCTGTCTGAAGCCACAGATGTCAGCGCAGATGATGCCTTCAACACGAGTGCTCCTACACAGCTCACTGACCAATGGAGGAACCCGATTCCAGGACATAGAGGCTGGATTCAGATGCCTCCGGTGGGACAGGAAGCTGCAGCTGAGCATCAAAACTCATGAGGCTGAGCTTCTGAAATATGTTACCCAGCGACTCAAGTCTGTGAGGTTGAACAGAAACAAACTGCGTTTGCATTCAGGAAGGTCCCAGGACCACAGTCGACTACAAACGAGAGGGAAGGAATGAGCAGTGGTGTTCCTGTACGGATGAGTAGAGCTGTGTTAGAGGTGCCTCCTGCATGCACGTAGTGGTGGTGGAGCAGAAGCAGACAGATGGACAGAGACAGAAGTTTCCAGGCTCCGGCGTTCCATGCAGGTGGTCCGGGGTGCAGGGATTGTCTGTGCATGGTGAATTATTTAAATGGGGAGTGTGGAAAAGGGAACGGCTGCATCTGTCGCACATCCTCTTAGAGCCCCTCCAGCAGATGTGTTTACTCACCACCCAGACCAGATAACGTCTTAACAGGCCGGCCTCAGCAGCCAACAGTTAATTAAGTCAGTCTTTTGCGAATGTAGGAGATGTGAAATCAGCAGCAGGTCCGATCAGGTCACGGTAAACACCGCCCAGCAGGTCGGAGGCTTACAGAATGCAGGGAGTAATTGTTATGACTGAGTCACTGAAGCTGAGATTCACGATGCAAACGGATTCATTCCAAAAGGAACTGTGTAGGATCAATTAATATGATGTTGAATAGTTTATTTCTATTTAATCCTCAAATGTAAAAATACAGAAGCAACAATGTTGTGGTGCGTTCATGGACTGGGGAAATGTTGGGAACTTGACTTCTTTGGTTTACATTCAAAGATGTAAACGAAAACGTTTTCAGGTTATTGTTCCAGTTTGACCAGCAGCTCCATTTAGTGGCTTTTGTATTGAAACGGGAAAGAACATCGATATTGTACAAACGTAATCTTGTATTGAACAACTACTGTTAAATTCAAAGGTTAGCTGGGATCATTAGAGATGAAAAAAAGTCTCTTTAATTATACTTGAATCACTTTTGATGGGCCTTCAAAAAATGTTTGTTAGTTAATTCTGGTCAGGTAAAAAACCCACAGATCTGTATTAACTAGGAAGATCGGCCGTTCGACGAAAAATAAATGCTCAATCAGGTAAAGGAGTCCTTTTATGCGATATCATTAAAAATGGCTGGTACCTATGGCTTTGTGAGATCTGTCTGGTCTAAACTAGCCACACAACCACAATAAGGATGATTGATGCACTGTAGTGTAAAGCGCTTTGGAGTCCTTTCTCTGAAAGGAGCCATACAACTGCGGGTCATTCATCACTGATTTCGTCGTCGTCGTCTTCCTCCGCTTATCCGGGTCCGGGTCGCGGGGGCAGCATCCCAACTAGGGAGCTCCAGACCGCCCTCTCCGCGGCCACCTCCACCAGCTCCTCCGGCAGGACCCCAAGATGTTCCCGGACCAGATTGGAGATCTAACTTCTCCAACGTGTCCTGGGTCGACCCGGGGGCCTCCTGCCGGCAGGACATGCCCGAAACACCTCCCCAGGGAGGCGTCCAGGAGGCATCCTGACCAGATGCCCAAACCACCTCAACTGACTCCTTTCGATCGGGAGGAGCAGCGGTTCTACTCCGAGTCCTTCCCGAATGCCCGAGCTCCTCACCCTATCTCTAAGGCTGAGCCCGGCCACCCTACGGAGGAAACTCGTTTCGGCCGCTTGTATCCGCAATCTCGTTCTTTCGGTCATTACCCAAAGCTCATGACTATAGGTGAGGATTGGGACGTAGATCAACCGGTAAATCGAGAGCCTGGCTTTCTGGCTCAGCTCCCTCTTCACCACGACAGATCGGCTCAGCGTCCGCATCACTGCAGACACCGAACCAATCCGCCTGTCGATCTTCCGATCCCTCCTACCCTCACTCGTGAACAAGACCCCGAGATACTTAAACTCCTCCACTTGAGGTAGGACCTCTCTCCCGACCCGGAGTTGGCAAGCCACCCTTTTCCGGTTGGGTTTCCTCATTTTTAACAACAGAAATTCATACAACTAAACACTGTAACTCTGTGAAATCATCACCAGTTTGAAGCTGCTATCCATTTCTCTTCTGTAGAACAAATAAATGCTGCCTTTCTCAGTTTAAACAACAGATCAGCACATCTGGCTCCAGCGCTGTCGTCGGACTCGGACAAAAACAAACGTGTGGGGGTGGGATTAACGGAGGTGAGGCTGGACTTGGTTTTGGTTACAGAACAGTCATCTCCTAATCTCGTTTAGAGCTCAGAGACCTGCAGGAGCCAGCAGAGCTCATAATCATACATTTTTGATTGGATTGCGGTCAGCAAGGACATTAAAATCTGTTGTTCCATCTAGAATGCCTTAGCAATCATCTGTTATGGTTTGGGATTATAAAAGAAGCCGTTCAAAATCAAACAATGATAATAACTCCACAGGAGGAAAGGCGTAGACCGTTTTCTACCATCGAGGGCTTTGTTCGTATCCGGGCTCCAGTTTCAACATACAACCATCTATAGACTCAGGCGGCGGCGTGTATTTGCAGAAGGACGACGTCTGGGAAAGGAGCAGGAAAAGCGGAGATGGGAACGACTCGTCTGAACTTAGGAGCAGCGTGTTGACTCGAGAGAAAACAGAAACAAACAGAAGCTCAGGAATTAAAAAGGGATAAGTCAACTGGTGGTGGTGGAACAGGAAGTGTCTGTGCCAGCATGTCTGTGGGCTCTCGCTTTAGGAAAAAGGAAATTTATAGAACAACATATTGAATCTATATTCCTGTGAAGTCTGTCATTAAAATTTAACACATCTCTTCTTGTTAACTTGCCAGGATGAGGGCAGGGATGCATCCCTTCACTCGAGCTTCTACACCTACTATAAATATTCATAGCTTTTCTTCGTGCTCGCGTTCTTCTGGTCTATGCCAAATACGACAAACGTGGATCCTGAGCTTGGAAGAGCGTCGTCTCTTTTCATAGTCCAGTTTTTATCTTGCATCTACACAAAATGCTAAAGTAAAACACCTTTATAACAACTTTCTGGCTGATTTGTGTTGAAGGCCAATGAATGAATGAATTTTCTATTAGATTTGAGTTAAAGCTTCCAGATCGTGCCCTTTAACCTCTGAGAGCAGAGGCAGGCACGATATATGGTAAACATTACTGCTGGCACTATTGAGATGTGATGTATTTTGGTCAGCCTGAAGATATACCCAGAAACAAATCGGCTCGGTTCACAGAAGCTCCGCCCACCCCCACTCCGACAAAACAACACCTAGAACAGCGTCGTAGGCCAGTCTGCTGTTGTATGGCCTTGGTGGTCCAGTGGTTTAAGTGCCTGCTGTGGTGCTCTAACCACCGGACTACCAAGTCCGTTACAGGACAAGAGTCCCCGGACACACACATCCTGAGCGGGCGTTACGCCTGTTTTTTGGACAGGACGCATGTTTTTACGGCGCCGTTTTGTCCCCGTGCAGAAGTCATCTGTCAGAAGTTTGCAGGTTTCAGAACCGAGACCAGACCAGCTTCAGGGAGAGGAGAAACGCCTGATGATGCAAGTGGTTTTCATTCACGCGTTTTCAGAATTTTCAAAGTAAAAGTCCAAATTCTACAGGAAAATGCATGCCTGCTGCCAAAAACGGGTTTGGTGGTTGTTTGCATGAGGAGATAACATTATCACATGATCAAAGTTCCATGGTAAGGCCCCTTTAACTGAACTACTCAAATCTGAGTCATCTGACACAGAAACCAGACACGTTTGAACCTGGGATGAATTGCTGTTGGCATATTTTGCAGAGATAATTTCATTTATTCCTAAACATAAATAAAACTAGTGAGCACTTACTGTCCAACTTCATAGAGAACGGGAGCGGGACACAGCAGGTAATCGTTACGCACCACGTTCGGCTTCTGGTCTAGAGAGAACAGAGAAGACGGTGTGCATGAACCCAGCCTCATCATGTTTATTTTAGATCAAACTGAAAAATAAGAGCAACCAGAGTTCCTTTCGTCCATTTGTGGAAACGTCTTTTGGGGTTGATCTGCGTGTTTAATGTAAATAAGTGTTGAGGTCAAAGGTCAACATTGGTTGTGTTTATAAAGAACACTCAGAACCAAGTGAATTTGACCAGAACGGTTCAGAGTTCGAGGCCTGAACAGACCTGAGGGAGTTTTAACTCTTTAGTTTGCACATCAGTGAAAAAAGCAATAAATCTGATTCTTCCAAAGGTTTTCATAATAAGAAGAATAATACGTTTTATTTAAAAGCACTTTTCTTGACACCCAAGGATACTGAACAGCCCTGGGAAACATACCAGGATCCACACGTTGCATAAATATATAACAACACCAAGATGTAAAAACAAAAACAACAACATTAAAACTAGGTGGTAAAAGCTTGTCTGAAGTGCTGGGGTTTGACTTGTTGGGCTGAGTGAGTTGTGTAATATTTTAAATAATATTAAATGATAATTTCAAGGATGTAAAACGTACATTTCACGTTTTCTGTGTGGTAGTTTATTTATTCCTGCAAAAATCATAGTGGTTTGACTATGATTTAGGGAAAAGGTGTGTTCTACAGGGCCAGTTCTGTTTGGTCTGTGAGTATTTTCTTAAAAGATGATGTCATTTTATTTATACCAAGTCAGAAAGTCAATCATCTTAATAACATTTCTATTAACAAAACAACAAACACCAAACTCTCGTTGGGTATAACAACAACAATAAAAATAAATGTATTACAATAATTACTATAATAAAAATTATATAACTAAATGTTAATAACAATTATAATGGTTAATAAATTAGAAAAATACGTTATTAATAACACTAAACAATAATAATGATAGTAATAACAGTAAAACAACTACAATAATGGTAATAAAAATATAGTAATTATAAAAAAATATCATAATGAAGGACCAAATGAATTTTCTGAAAATAAAACATTTACCTTTGATTCAGATGTTGCAAAAGCAAGACTTCATAATCCGCTCTGAGATCAGGAGAATCATAGATTTATAATCCCAACTAAACCCTTAAACATCTTTTCATGTGCAATAAAACTACAAGCATGAGAAGTCGTATCCAAAACATTTCGGCAGCTCAGATTAGTCACATTCAGACAGAAAGACTCTTAATCTCATTGGCACAACGAGCCAGCCGTCCTCGGATGAACTCAGACAACAAAAATAACAACATCCAACCAACAACCTGTTAATTCTGCTGCGCTGTGTCTAAACAACAATCGCTGCTTTCACCTGCGTTGCATTAATTGTTCTATACATCTCTCTGATGAAGAGCAGAAAAACTAAACAATGGCCGACTGGATTATAATTTCTCTTTGTTCATCACAGGTTGACACGCAGATTATTCATATAACTGATTTGTTTTGTTGTTGTTTTTTCTGCACATGGCTCCAACTGGTTTGGTGATGGAGGAGACTGTAGCATCTGCTTCACATATGTGGCGCGTGTTCCAGAGCCGCCATGACGCGTGTCCATAATTATAAGGTGGCCCACTGTTAGAGAGGTCTGGGCCGAACACATGCAAAAGCCAATAAGGGAATAAATAGCCCCAAGTGGGCGAATGTGAGACAGCCTAAACTGAGAAAGGACTAACAGGAAGACATCTGCTAGTGGCCACTTCCTCATTCAGATTGGAGACTTTTTATATAAAAGCAAAAGAAAATATGTTCAAGTATTTTAGTTTAGATGAAATGTTGAAATCAAAAATAACTTGTCAAGGATGGAAGTGTTGTCATTGGCAGTCGCCGATCTCCACAGATCCCACGGCCAAATGAGAGCTTAAAAAGATTGGCTGCTGGTGCCAAATCCCGTTTGCTTCCTGAAAATGGATTTCTCCAACGGAACAGACCGTCAGCTCAAAATAAGGAGCAAAGTGACCCACATAGCCTCCTTTCTTCTCCTGAATTCAGACCGTAGAGATGAGCTGTGAGATGATGGATGGGGTTTACGTTCAGAACTTCACACTTAAGTCCCAGCACGCAGGTCTGAGGCGTTTGCAGCTCACAGCCTGGAGGACTCATCAGGTGAGTCCTTACCAGTGTTGGGAAAGTTACTTTAAAAAAGTTATTAGTTATAGTTACTAATTACTTTGTCAAAAAAGTAACTCAGTTACTAACTGAGTTAAGAGATTATAAAAGTAACTAATTACCAAGAAAAATAACTACTTATTTACTTTTTTCATTAAAGAATACGAGAAAAATGGGTTAATTAAACTTACTTAATTTACTATAAATTACTACAATAGTGAAATATAAATGACTAATGACTGGAACATAATAAAATGTATGTTCAAATGTTTTTTATAAACCTGAATAATTTAAATAAATAAGCACTTAACAGGAGGAACTACTAACAGGAACATTACACTAATCTAGACTATTAAAAGGTCACTGTGTGATATTTAACAAGACCCCAATCAGCTAACATTTAAAATAGCAAATAGAAACACCTGTAAAGGTTCCCGAGCCTTTAAATGGTCTCTCAGTCTAGTTAAATTACAGAAATAAATGTAAATTTGTACAGCATTTTAATTTTCCAGCTTCACATAATTGTGTGTTTTAGCAGCATTTCTGTTGCTGCTAATCTAGTAACGGTTAAATAAATAAATAAAAATCATTTAAAATGACACTAGAAGAGGCACAAGCCTGATGGAGGGCTTACATTTACTAACTTGGGTCAGACCCAAACACAGAAGAGCTGAAGCTGGGTGGTAAACACACACAGGTATAGTAGATGCATCAGCGTTACAGCGGGACTAAACACATGATCAGAAACAGGTTTCAGCTGGATGATCTAGGAAGGTAGAAGATCAGGACGTCTGAGCGGTGAACAGGTGGACCTTCGGGACGTCCCGCTGTCACGCTAAGAAGGGCACGGCTGCAGATCCACACCTGCAGCCGTAGACTATTCATCACGTCTTCCTCGTTCTTCACGGGCCGTGATGCACTTGGATGAAAACATCTACCTCTTTAGCTCCTGATCAGCTGATGACAACTTCAACACACCGCGCAGCTTAACACATGAGTTTCCTTACAGAAACGAAGTTTTGATAAAAGAAGGCAGCATGTCATTAGTTTGCTCGTTTTTTTTTTAAGTAACGCGGTTATTTTAAACGGCGTTATTCCCATCACTGGTCCTTACGAACAAATAACCAGAACAAACTCAAACTCCTAACTAAGAGCATGAGCTGCAGAGCCTTAAGGATGTCAAAAATGCATCAACAAGATAAATCTGCCTCCTCTCTCACCTTCATCTCAAATCCGTTACAGCTGCAGATTTTCTGGATTTCAACCAGCCTTACTGTAGTCCGTCTGCCACTGGGCACACGGAGAGCTGCAGCAGCCTTCTGAACTACTTACCTTAGCTTGTTCAGAGACAAACTTTGGGTCAGAACATGATTAACTCATTCGCTGCCGATGGCGACTAAAGTCGTCATTTGCATGTTTTTACTGTGTGAGCGTCGGACGAGCCCCCGCACCATGAGAACAAACATCTCAGCTCTGAAGCCGATCTTCATCCGCGTACGTCACACGTCACGTGATCAGGAAGCAGAACATCCATGTGTTAGGAGATCGTTTTGGGCTGCTGCTGTAAAAATAAAGGGAGGCGCGAACCGGAAAAGCTTCTGCCGATCACAATTCAACAAGGATTATGAAAGAACGGATAACGCTCGAAACGCGCAGATTCTTCCTGATGTAAGAGGTGAGTCTCTGCTTTGTTTTGGCGTCGACATCATCCTTGCACTCAACGTCCTGTGACTCTCTTAAAAAAAACTGTGAAAACGGTGAGAAACGCTGGCCGCGACGGGCTTTACCGATCAGGAAACGGCTGGCAGTGAATGAGCTCATAATCACCCAGAGTTTACCGAGTCTGGACTTTCCCCGTAAGCATGGCTGTCCCTGGAAAACTCAACAACAAAACAAAAACGTCAGAGCTATCAGGAAAATGATGGTTTTCACGCTGGGCATGGACCATCTGGGGGGGGTTAAAGGTGCGTTGCAGGAGGAATAGAAACTTCCATGTGAGAACAAACAACGCTGACATGTTTCTGTTCACGATCTGTCTGCAGTTTAGACAAGAAAACACTTTTAATGGCTCCAGATTTGCTGTTGTGACCATTTTAAGTCATGATCTGAGTGAAGGAGCTTTATTATGCTAGCAGCACCACTTACTGATGGTTTGATGATTAACTATGAAGCTGCAGATGACGTCCATGTTGCTACGTCCCACGGCGAAGCCGTTCCCTCTGACCACGATGTCGTAAGACTCTGGAATGTCAACAAACACCAGATAAGTGCCTCGGGAAGGTTTTCAGCTTGAATATTGATCTGGAACATCTGGTTTGGAAGGAACGCGTGTCTGAATGGAAGTTTGGTGAATGTAGGGTGGACGTGGAGTCGTTTTAAACAGAACAAACTGAGAAGGATCCACTCACGATTTACACACACGCTGGACGGCTCCACACTCAGGATTTCTGTGCACGACCGCTTTAATATCTGGAGGATGAGAAGACATTTAAATGAGCGCATTACTCCCTGGAGGAGCTGAATAAATACATCAAGTCCTGACTGTTATTGGCTCTGTCAAGTTTAGAAAACAGATCAGGGAGCAACACCTGAGAGATGTCCCGCTACTGATCAGCTCCTGGCGGGTAAAGGAGAGCGCTGCGTATCAGCAGTGAGGAGAACAGGAGGTAAAACAGCAGCTGTGTCAGCCTTTATGGGGAAATTATGCAAGTCTATTACTGTTCCTCAGTTCTATTAAAAACCTCTGGGATGTTGCATTATCATATAAAGAGGCCTGTGTGAGCACGCTGTCACCCAGCTGCACTTCACACGAAGATTCGATAAATCAACAAAAGGAAAACTATGCAAATCCAGGTTCACACTCAGTAAAAGGGAGCATATTAATGGCAGTGGAGGACATGTGAAGCTTTCATTTGATGTTGGACAAAAGCTTGATCAGAGGAGTGGAAGACGGACGTGTTTACAGTAGCCTTGTTAGTGATGATGGTGTGGTACTGGAGGAGAGGGCTGGTGTGGATGACAGCTGCTGATAAAAGCACGAGACACAAAGATGGACAACGATCCCCCAAACAAAACAAAACAACTGCAGAGAAAAAGTTTCACGTACATCTAATGGATCTGGATGGTTTTGGTGATGTGAGAAAATAAAAACGTTCTGAATAACAAGATTAGAGCTCCCAGTCTGGGCCAGTTTCATCACTTCCGGACGGGGGGGGGGGGGGGGGGGGGGGGATAGATAGATAGATAGATAGATAGATGATAGATAGATAGATGATAGATGATAGATAGATAGATGATAGATGATAGATAGATAGATAGATAGATAGACAGATAGATGATAGATAGATGATAGATGATAGATAGATAGATAGATGATAGATAGATAGATGATAGATAGATAGATAGATAGATAGATAGATAGATAGATAGATAGATAGATAGATAGATAATAGATAGATAATAGATAGATGATAGATAGATAGATAGATAATAGATAGATAATAGATAGATGATAGATAGATGATAGATAGATGATAGATAGATAGATAGATAATAGATAGATAGATAGATAGATGATAGATAGA